TCTTAACATTTTCAATGCCTTTAAACCAAACAATTTATATCGTCCACAACACTTCAATGCTGCACTCCACTTAGTGCCTTCAACTTCGCCCCACTACAACTTCCCAACTGACCCACTGCAGTTGGCCAGCAGGATAATACATAAATAATTACCGGAGACAACTTTTCCAGACAAGTGGCACTTGCCTTGTGAAATTAAAATCATTCTTAACTTTTTTAGAGAGACGAAACTTGTTCGACGTTAATGCAGTCGACGTTGACTCTCAGAGATAAGTAGGCATGGTACGTCATGTAAATGAAGACATTTTCATTATTTATTTTCATAGAGTAGGATGAGAAAGAGAAATATATTCGAATAAATATTAGTATACAACTATATAATTAAATATGATTGAATGGATTGGATGCGAGCAGCGCAGGACCGATCGTCGTGGAGATCTTTGGGGGAGGCCTATGTCCAGCAGTGTCTTCCGAGCTGCGATGATGATGATGATGATGATGATTGAATAATTTTGTACAAGTATTTTTATTTAATTAATACATTTTCATTCCAGAGATTTGCAATTAAGATCTCTATGGCTCTCAAAATTATGAATACACAAAATTTTTTCGGATATTTTATTAGTTTTTGATAGAATTAATTATTATATCTCTCAAAAACCTGGCAAAAAAATAATGTTTTAAAATAAAATAATTATACAGGTATGGTTCTAGCTCACAAATATATCGAGAAGTATTCGTGAATTGTATTAAAATCTTAATATTTTATTACTAATTATGCGAGCAGCGCAGGATCGATCGTCGAGGAGATTTTTGGGGTAGGCCTTTGTTCAGCAGTGGCCGTCTTTCGGATTGAAATGAAGATAATATTTTTTATAATTTATCTATATTTTTAAATAGATGGTACAGATAATAATATTTGTATTAAAATTGTTCGACTTTGTGTTGAAAATAATGTGACCGTGTAAAATATAAGCAAAATATTTATATTATACCCTTTACAATGTTCATCCACTATCTTTTATCATTTAATCCGCCACGGATCTCCCGCTTGCACCAGCACAGACCATAAATAACGGCTATCAATTTTTTATTAGCGTTTCTTCCTTCCATGTTGTGATCGTTTATACGTAATTTACTGTGGTAAGATCACGCTAATGTATCAATAACTACGTTTATGATGCTATTATAATAGCAGTAAGCGATATAGGAGTAATTGTATATTTGTGACTTGCCAGTATGTTTATCAATTTTTTTAATAATATTATATTTCCAATACATATAAATTACAGGTTTAACATATGAATGTAGATGGTTAAAGGGCAGAGGAAGGCTGGAAAAGAGATGGATGGATGGAAAAGATGATATGGTAAGAATGAGAAAGAAAAACATATATCACCAACTCCTTAAAAATGGCATAAGAAAGAAATATAATTACATTTCAAATTTCTCTTTTGATATTAATTATCAAATATCTTTTTTTTTTAATATCAAAAGAGCTTCTCAACAAATATATCTTGATAAAAAATATTGGTATCGATAGTACAAATCTTGATAAGTACAATCGAAATAAAAACTAAAGCGACTTATTCAAATCGAGCGTCAGCCCGAGTTACGGTATATCTACTCCTGCCGGTTCCTGCTTTCGTGATGTCGGCGATTTGGCGTGCTCAATAAAAAAAATCTCCGTCAATTTATGTTCACGTAATAGGCAATGCGGATAATTCGCGACGTTACCACGACCCTTTCATGCTCGTTTTGTTTCGTAAAACGCCGGAGCGGACTTTTAAAATATCCAAGGTTTTTGTGCGTTGGCTGCTAAACAGAAAAATATATTATTATTTACGACTGTCTATTATTTGATGAGCTGTCAGCTGTTATTGAAATGTTAGGTCGATTTGTAAAGTAGTATTTTTATTATTTATTAACTTGCATGTTTTATCAATATATTCAAAATATTTTTTTGATAATGGTTCATCCAAAAATTAATGGAATTATAACTGTACTATCTTCAGGTATAATTTCATTAATTGACCCACGAGGGCAGACATCAGTTATCTTTTATCTCTAAAAGAGTAGACGAAATCGCGGCTAATAACTAGTATTTTATATAAATAGATTTATTTTTGTACCCTATTTTATTACTACCTCAGATTATAGAAACTATAGGTCGTGAGATCGATTACCGTCAAGGTCTGTATACTCAGAAAATTCTGTCTAAATTTTAGAGTAATTTTTCGGGTGAATATTACTTATGTATATAACATGTTGTAGAACCATGTCAAGTATATATAAATTTAACAAATACTTGAATAAAATGTTAAAGATATAAATTACCACATAATACTTGTCCAACACAAAAAATACAAATAAATGTGTAAAAATTTGGCACACAACGGAGCTTCGTTTTGGCATGATGTACCAACTTGTATGAAAGTGCTAAGTGCAGAATTATGGTAATAGAATTACCATTAGAGGTTGTAGGGAAATAAAATTTAGATATTATTTAAAAAATTAACTACATTAGCGGATATGGATAAAACACTTAGACAAGTCACACAGCGCCGTATAGTCCTAAACTAAGCAAAGCTTGTGTTATTGGTACTAGAAAATAGATAAATATATATAGTAAATATAATACATACTTAATAAACACAGACCGATATAAATAATCATACTTACGAATACAAATGTTTGCATCGTGCGAGGAATCGTACTTGCGACCGTCGGAAGAAAAGCTATGTGCTAGACCATACTGGAGTCTAAATAATAAAAAAAAGAATTAATTAATTATATCTTAGTAAATAAAATTACTCATACTACTCCATATAGTAACACAGTATTACTCGAAGTGCTGTAACAATGGAAGTAGTACACAGTATAAATAATTCAGACGTCTGGAATCAGGCAATTAGTAATCATGGTCAATACGCATTAGCATTTAACGCGAAACTCATACAGTCCCGGGGGAAACAAACGGGCGAGTGTTGCTCAGATAAAATTAGCTGGAAATAGCGGAATGGGATCCCTGATAAGACAAAAATGGCATTACGCAATCGAAATCTGGCGCTGACAAGACTTCTCTCTACTGTCGAGATGAATAAGCCACAAATAGGATTCATCCTACATATCCACACTATTTCTCTATTGAATATTGAAACCCTTGCTACCATATTATATATTATTTGTTATTATATATGTATAATGAATACGAACTGTGTCTGTCCGTTTGTTACTTTTCACGACTAAACCGCTCAACGGTATTGGTGTGAAAATAGATAGTATTCGAGCAAGACTATAGGTTATCTTTCATCTAAAAAATCCAGACTAAGTCAATAGTAACAGCTAGTACTATAACCATAGATTTATATTATACTCTGTATTCTTACATATAGTGCCAGTTAAACGGTTTAGGCGTGAATAGCATAACAAACATACTAACAGATAGACAATCATGTGAATGTTTACATTTATAATATTAATATGGATTTTGTCTGTAATTGGACTTAAATCGGTACTAATGGTTTACATAATAGATCATTCTAAACAGGACGCGTTTCATTGTCCAAGTGACCTAAATAAGTAGCATCTATGTCTATATCCGACCATAATACGCTATGTATATTAATTATATATGTATGTTTTTTTTATGGATGATAATGGAATGGTGCACCCGCCTGCGCTAATGGTTTACGCTAGCGAAGCACCAGTAGAGGATGATAAGATGAGCATGATGTCAGGTCAGTTAGCCCATCGTTACAAATTCACCATGAATTTATGACGAAGGTTTACAGAGGGAACCGCGTGGAGGTCAACCTGACATGGTACATTGCTAGCAATGAGATCATCAGTCCACATTACTAACAATCCCCTTTTCCCCTTATACACATATGTATAATGGTTCACAATAAAATGTTTTTCTTAGAACATATACATCAAATTTCACGGTGGTTCGTTAATAAGCGAGGACGAAAAAATAAACAATTATGAGTTAACAGTCCGTTGTTACCTCGAATGAGTAAGTCACTTGCATATACTATGCAATTATCTATACATATATCTGTAACTACTCGTACTTTGCTGTTTATATAGTTAATTAATGGGATATACATGTTTATGTCCCTAGAGATCAGAAGATGCAGATATTACTTACTATCATCAAAGAAACATGACCATAACTAAATTGTGAAACGTATAAGATTAGTAAAGACCGCCGTCCTGTACAAATGTGTTTGTTTGCCTTATAAAATGATATTCGGTGTCATTATGATTATTAGTCGCATAATGGGCAGAGAGCCAACAGGCACTATGTTATTGAGGCGAGAGGCTTTATTATAGTAATGTGGTGTAGATTTGTTTTCCCCGGGGCTTTTTATGCCATATACAGTGTCAGTGTTGGATAATGACAATATGATGGGTATATATAGTATGATATACAGTAATGGGTCGTGAAAACCTAATTTAATACTGACTTTAACTTTTCTAATAACCTTTAAAAAATCTTTAAACCTTTTAATATACTAAATTTCATATATACATGAAGCAATATTGGAACAACAACAATAAAAACTTCAAAACTATGCATATTAGTTCAATGTTATGAAGTCTAAAGATCCATAGGCGAAGTTGCAGATAAATTTTATTTATGTTATAACTTATATTTAGCCATTCTTTCTCAGAAAGAACAAGTAAAGAGTCCACTTCTTTAAAACTGTTACTGTCCTTAATCACTTATTCATCGAGGTTAATTCAATTGCTCACGGCATATTTTTCCTTAAACGCCTACGATAAACTTTATTGCGACGAACAATGTTTCGTTGCTATACATTTTTATTCAGGCGCTTAACCTAACTTCATTAAGAAAATTAATTCAATAATGTTTACAATACGAGCTTATTCGTTTACTTTATTTTATATACTTTTTGTAATTTACTTTACTGTTTTCATAAGTTAGAAATATCGTAACGGCCATCTTTACCTATTTTAACCAACTCCCAACAGATTAACTGTGATAAGTAATTGAGTGATTCATTTGTGTAAAAGACAAAGTGTGAAATACATAAAGTGTAAAATAAAACTAATTTTGTACGTTATGAAAAAATGCCCAAAACGGACAGGACGCTGACCCTTACATCAGTTTAAACGGCAAACAGTAAATACGCAGAGTGTGACAGTGTCAGGTGGCGATGAGGCGGGGGGCGGGTGTGCCCCCGCGCCTCTTATCAGGAGATAAGGTGCCGTGGTTACCGATAGCGGGCAGGTTTTCGACAAACTGGCTCGAGGCATCAGCGTGACCAGGCCGCTTGGAACGAAGCGGCCGCCGCCCGCAATGCTGCACTCACTGAACGCACTCGCCGGTAAAATATCGCCGGGCGGCGGCCTGGACAACAACGCAAATAGACACACGCACCCCAACAGGAACCATAAGGCATCATCGCCATCATCACCCTACTCCAAGCCCAAGTAAGTTCTTTATTCTATATCATTCAAACTCCAAAAAATGTCCCAATTTGACTATGTTCTTTTATTTTGGTTATTTTGACTATGTTGTTTCGACTAAAATGGCAAACATATTCAAGTTGCGCAACCAACTATTTGAAATGAAAACCCATCGATTTGAGAATTATCAGTACAAAGGATATCATACAAATATACTATGATATATGTTATAACCCTACGTTGCCATTCTTCAGATCTAAAGTATTCCTAAATACGTACCTATTCATTTGTTGCTATAAGTACTTGAACCTACAAATCGGAATACAGCTTACAAGCAAGCAGCTAGCTTATCTGAGGAGCTGTTTAAGGTGTAAAACGGTAAATGCTAATCTTCGAAAATTCTGCGCCCGTTTTAATGATTCTCTCAGAAATAGATAGCATTTACTTTCCATTTGTTGTTTGAATAATTTAATCACTAAGTCGTAAAAAAATATATCAAAACTAAGACTTATTTTTTAAGACTTAGAGATCAATATGTACTTGTTTTTACGTGTTATTATAGACAATCAGCTGTCCAGGTTGTAACCCGCGGCGTTTTACAAAGATCCTCCTTTTAGCAGATACTTTATAATATATACGTTCCAGATTACAGCTTTCTAGATTTAGTAGTTTTTGTTATACGTCGATTATCAGGCAGAGTGTATATTACACTCGCAACATCTTTAACTAGCAGGGTGACCCTTAATTTTCTTGCTCCATGGCAGAAGGGTATTACAAGATGAATCGTTAATTCATTCATCTTTAGAGGCTGTAGACCTTTATAACTTTTTTTTATACAGATGAGTTATGATCATACTTGTAGGTTGATAAGCAAGTGTTAACAACAATCTCTTTAGTTTACACAATGATAACTGAGACAATCCGATTTACTTTTCACAATCTCATTATTTTTTAATCTCACGACACCAATGCATTAGTCATGTTTTATGATTGCGTATATATGTATCTAAATTTGAACTTCACAGCATAATTAACTCTTCTTTTATTTTAACATCTCTCTCTCATCTCATATCATCTCTTCTCTCTCTCTCTCTCTCTCTCTCTCTCTCTCTCTTGTACGCATCTCTTTTTCTCTTTCGCTCACTGTTACACTTTATACATTTATTTATCATTTAATCTCACTGCATGAGTGGGAATATAAATTATTAATTTTTTTTCCTATGTCATATGTACCTACAACAAGTAATATGTCATAGATTTTGTTCGTTTTAAATCTATCAAATGTATCTATGTAGTAAGGTCATCAATTAGTTTTTCCTCTTTTCTTTCTTTCATTGTTGCTCGTTATCTTCTGACATCGTCGTCTATCGTATAACATTGACAAACATGGTCCAATTTATTGCCTACTAAACCAAAATTACTTGAATATAGAAAACATAGTCCGTCAGTAATTCTTATTATCTTAGATAAAATTCTTTGGTATCCTAAATTAGAAACAATATTTAAAATCTCTAGTGCAAATATCATAAGTGTCATTGACTGTGCTTTACATCACGCACGTCTAGAAATAAATTTTTAAGACAACAAAATGCAGAAAATGAATATGTAAAAAAACTTAAAAGCTTTTACCACCCAAGTCTGCATGTTATATGAAATTTTCAAATATATTCTGTCATTCAAAACTTGTTGTGACAGATTCAAACAACAGAAAAAGAATTAGTCAAGTTATGTTAGTTAGAAACATTCTGAAGACTAGGTATATTTTATTTGATATAAATTGTGTAAATGTTTTTAAAAATTGACAGAATATCGACGATATGAGTCTATTATACCATTGTAACATCTTTTTTTTCTTAATCTGAATTTTAGCAGAATTTTATTGTCTTCAAAATTATCAACATATGTAGCACGTAGTTTTTCTATCACCTTTCTTATACCCACATCTTCAACTTAGATCTTGTAAGAAGTTATTTCGTTCACCGTGTCAACATATATCTTATCAAATTGAAAACCCACAATTTCACAATGTGGTGTAATTCTAACATTTTCTTCTTTGCATTTTGATAAACTGATTACTGATAGCAATGAATCTGTACCCTATATGTTCAATCTGCTATCCTGGGAGAGTCTTGATAAAATTTCGCTATCTGCGTCTCGTTTTGTAGTACTTAGATAGTTTCATGAGCAAGTTACTTAATAGTAAGTCATCAAATCAAGTCGAAATAACTTTATTCATATAAGTCTATTACATACCCTTATACTATAGATATAAAGTGATTTGACGTAACGTCAGGAGTGATTTCAGCTGTTATTCTTTTGACATAGCTTGTAGATGATTGCAAAAATACAGATTTATGTCTAAATTTAATTACAGAATACATGTGATCACTGCACTATGCTACCATTTTATTCATAATTATGTCCGTTAGCATTAGTTTGGGACTTTCTATACGTATTTCAGTATGTATGTATATTAAATTGATGTTAGAAGTACATACAGTGTAGGCTCCTCTACGGCGGCGACGATGGGTTCGTCTCGTATCAAAGTTTAATTCTAATATACTGAGTAAAATGTAGGGATATCAAATATTGACGCTTGATATGAACAATTGTCTTTGACTACCCCAAATGAGACGATGTCAGTCGTGATGATATATTTATTACCCTCTATAGCCTCTACTTATTTTGGAATTAGACAGCAATGAGTGAGTTTTCCAGCATCATTATGTTATCTCTCATATTTTTTTAGTACGAGTAATTATGTGTTTTATTTTATTTTTTAAATTACATGACGTCAGGAGTATGTTTTAACTTATTACGTCATTATCTTACACGGTGTTGAACTAGCCTATCAAGAGTCCGCTTCGTCACGTCAAATATTTACTGAAGGCGGACTTATCGTTTAAGAATTTTAATACTAGTAATATTACGGCGGCCCAGATTTACATGAGCTTCGTAACCTTTAGACTGAACATGTTTTTGCACCTGTTGGTAGGTAGCAAATTTATAAATTACTACAAAATATATCTAAATGTTGGCGTTAATAACCCTTGTCTAGGACTTTGTGGACGTAGAACGTTATACACACATTTTTGAACTTTGATGTGCATTTAAAAAACATATCCACAATGAGTTCTAGTTCCAGAGGAGATTTGATACTCTTCGGAAGATCCGCAATTAGGCTTTTTAGATTGTCTCTGTATTTAGGCTAATCTGTAGCCTTTGGATTTGCGAAGAATATGGGGTTTGAGTCTGTTGCAACCTTAATTGTGAATCTGATGTTAGCCAATGAGTAATACTTTCGGCCACATATACATAAACATGTGAGGAGGTGTTGCCACTCAATTTATTTGTTTCTTTAGTGAGTATACAGATGTAGTAACTGAAGTACATTAGTAAATTTATTTGATAGTATCCTACTTGGCATATTCAAAGAACAAACTTTTGATATATGTTCTTAGCTGAAATATCGCTGTAATACTTAGATACTGCATGTATTAGTATATTTGATTTTTTATAGAATTAAAATGGCTAACTCTTATCTAAACTCTAAAAACTCACGAGGCAGATTTTTATACAAAGTTAACCGCGGTAAAAAGTCGTGGCATTCATAAATAAGTATAATGCATAATTATTTAACTCGAACTAATTGGTACGTTTGGAATTGTCGAAATTTGTATTCATTTTCAATAGGGAAGATAATGAGACGGACAGTTGATTTCAACTTTGATTTTGATTGAGTAGGGTATGTTGGTAAGTGGACCCGCTGACAGTTTATTCTGCGGGACCAGTTGCTAATTTTCACTGTCTCGTATCTGAAATCTGAGGGATATTTTTGAACTTCTCCATTTAGAAAGGATTTAACTTATACACGAAGATAAATTTTGTGAGATAAAACGAATTGCTTTACCTACGAATGTATAATATAAGTATAGGATAGCAGGTAGACCTTTATATTACAAAATGAGGCCATTATAGAATATATAATATATAAGATATAATCTATCTTTATGTCATACTTAATTAAGTTCCTTTTAGCGGTTAATACTAAAAAAATAACAGAATAAAAATAAGAAGAAACAGAATGACTATTATATATACTACGTATTATATAGGTACTTTTACATTTATAGTATTACTAACTATTACGTCGTCATGTGTGTTTTTTGAGAGAAAAATTAATGTATATATATACATATATATACATTATCTTATACCATGTATATTCACGATAAATATTTAGATCTATTCATGCGTTTAGTAAAAATATAACTAACTGAAAGACAGATAGACAGTTACATCTTCACATTTATATTATCACTATAAAATACTTAATATTAACTTTTAATGTTGTACAGAAATCCCTAAATAAGTGGATAATAAAAACAAATTTGTTAAAAAAAACAAATTCAGTCGAGTTCTTGACAATTATTTTCAATTTAGTCTATAGACTGAACAGAACGGTAGGGAAAGAACTGAATACAAACTTGGCTTGCATAAGTGACTAAAGATATTCGAATTATATTTTTAAATTTGAACTGTTATTTAAAAAATCTCTGCGATTCCATTTTTAAATTTTAAAAATAAACCCATAACTGCCCAGAAATGTACCCAGCTTTATAATAAAGACAGAAGAATTCTAATTACGTAGGCAGCTCTGCGGCAGTGCCGTAGGTTCCTGGGAATTCTTTCATAAACGTGGAATGTCTTGGGATGGTTTACAGATTCAGTATCCGAGCGCGGCGTGGGCATCTAGCTGCAATGATGGTACCTACTGTACTGTACTATAGTTTTACTTACAAATACCATGCAATTTATACAATTCAATCTTATTAGTTGTCTTCTGCACCTTTGCCTGCCTCTTTTGAGATATAAAATAGCCCACGTTCGGTCTCGTGATACTTGATCTTTACATAGTTCTTATATCAAATTGCATGAATTTAACACGTGCGTGTTTTCTGAAATATTCACTGAATTTCAATTGATTCATATTAGGCACATTGATTGGGGAATAAAAAATATAATCCATCACATTCAAAATTAATGTTCTTGTTGCTAAGTAACTGATATGTCTTATGTGATGAAATCAAGAATAAATTATATTTACTTCTGTATACCCAATGAATATCTCCATTGATTCATAAAACCAATTACTACATATATCTAGTAACAAATAGTCCTAATATATTATGTGTAGTAATTATATACTAGCCACTTCCAATATAAAAAGAGATATATATGTCTTAATTTATTTAGAATAAATCATTTAACAATCTAAAAAACTATATGTATTTGTATATTTCTAGTTTTCCTATAAAGTCCAATAACAAACAAACAGTTATCACCTTCCATGTGCTAAGAATTAGGCCATAGATTAGCCGATACCTGATTACGTATATCTATATAAATAATGACAAACTACGCAATTTTTGTTTGCTTACATTAAGAAATACTGCGATCCTAACTAAGGAGTATTGCCATGAGAATTGTCGATAGTCCTGATCTCACTAGTAATCCAGTTGAACTGGACCCAGATGAAGGGTCGGAAGGAGATAAAGTTTCATCACCTGGGTTTCACAATGGCTTTAATACAAAGCAAATTAGTTGATATGACGCTTACAGCAACCTTATAACTTCACACCGCTCGCCATCGAAAGAGAGTTCTCAGGGCATCTCCACACACTTATTGATTGTGGACAGTGCGATTTCAAATTAGTTTCCTCACACACATGTTCTGATTGTGGAATGAACTAACTGGTAAAATATGTTTTTTTATGAAGTTTTATTAATGTGACATGCCTCATGTTTTCGGCGTCTCTAGTAAGTACCGTAACCGATTATCATCAGATAGGCATGGTGTGCTTATTACCACCATCGTGGTATAAAAACAACGTGCATTTTTATAGGTTATTTAGTATGCGCGATGAAATTAAAAAACATTAGGAGCCCATGCTATAAATCAAAAGTATGGTTTGAATTCATGCCCTGAAAATTAAATGCAATAGTGATATTTTTTTACTAGCAGCATTAGTTTCGTATGTTATCACCAAAATAATGTATCGATCCATAGATAACATAGATAATAATGAGTGCTATTACAATGAATCATGTCCACCACACTAGGCCTTTTTCAGCGAGTATATGAATATATGTTATGTACAGTCATGCCACATTGGGAGCTATTCCGCTAATTTAAGGGGATTTTGATTGCGTTGGGGGAAATTTTGAACACGCAAATATTTGAGAATTACAAAATGTGAGGGGGAAAATTATTGCACATTTATATAGACTTAAAAAGAACTATGGGAACAAGCGCCTAGTAAAAATAGGTCATAAGTTTCGAAAACCTATTGAAGTAGATAATCAGGGTTGAGTAAGGCTTAGTAATACAGACTTTTTAGTTGTAGAGATTTTTTTAAACCTTAGTTTTGAGGAATTTCAAGCAAAACCTGGCAACACTGGTTTTGTATGCGACCTTACTTATTCGTCATACTTGTTCACATATTCAAGTACTTCCGCATTCAACAAACTAATTCCGACTAATGATATTTAGAACATTATGAATGGCTAGCTGTTATCCGTGACTTGATGTGCATTTTTTGATGTAAAAAGCAGCCTAGACCATCCTTATGATAGGATTCTATCTTCACTTCGAATTTCCTTACGATACGTACAGCCGATTTAATCGTAGTAAGGACACAAAAACTTCGTATTTATAATATTTGTATAAATGATAGGTAGGTAGCACTTATTATTACATTCTGTTGGAAATAAAAACTTAGAATAAACTTAAACAATATATATAATAATAATAAAACGTTTTGTAATAAGAGAGAAAGAATTATTAGGGCAAACTAGTGGTCCCATTACTGATAATGGCTCTCTAACATCTTTAGCAATGGTCAGGTCAATGTCCACGCATCCGCCTCTGAGTACCATCGTGGTTAATTCCTGGTTATATTAATAGCAATTTTTCGTGACCGATAATCTTGTGGTACTCCGCCAGTAGGTACATAGCGTAAGCACCATTCGATTCACATCGATAAAAAAACTATGTAATAATATAACAAAATTTGGAAGGTTCGTGATCGCGATAAGAAGGCTAGCAACTTGAGCGGATTAGAAACACTACAGCTTTTAAAAAACCTACAGTTTTAAAGATCGTCATGACTAGCAAGCTAATAAATTTACTTTCCATCGGTTAAAACGAATTGTATTAGGACTTAAAGGTTTATGCTTTTGTAAGTTTGTAACGAGTTGTCTAAAAACTACAGAATAGATTTCAAAAATAATTTCTTCATTAGAATACTATTTTATCTCAGAGAAATATTTTTTGTTATTAGAAAAATATTTGCATTTCTTACTAAAATTTCAATAATGCAACTAAAGATTTAAAAAATAGGCATTAAATGTTGTTGCATAGCTTACGCTGCGGAAATGTCTAACATCAAATGAAAAAGAAAAAAAATAATTCTTCATTCAAATGCTTCTAATTACAAAATTCCATTGCCAATATTTCATTTAAACATCTAACAATATATTTGCAGGAATCATTTTCAAAGCCAAAATCAAATAAACAAAGCTCTATACATAAATTCCTTGGTCTGGCATAATAATAAATGAAAATGTAGGGTAAACATACCAATTCACTGTACCTACCCGCATTTATTAAACCTCGGCGCGTTGTAACTACTCGACACCGTCTCGTTTGTTGATCGAGTTTGATAAGTGATAAGAGTGGCCTGTAATCGAGCGATGTATGCGCTTATCAGTGATAACGTCATGGCAAACAAGTGCGGCGGCTACAGAGCTTGGAACGGTACATTTTCTAGAATAATGAGGTACATAACCTATAAACAATACATAACTTACTTTGTCCAGTTAGTGAATCTCTTTATAGTGAAATAATAAATATTATTTTCGTATATTAAATTCTATTGGGATGTTCATTTTCAACAGCTCAGTGTTATTTCAGTGATATTTTTATTACTAATATTTAAAAGTGCTTAAAGTGGTTTACTTGGAGACTGTGGCGCCATCTTTAGTTTATTATATAAACAGCGTGCAATGTAAACACAGTCTGGTTTCTTATAGAAATATTTTTTTATTGGTTATTATGATGTCTGTATGTTTTGTATATACCTATAATATAATTGTGTGATCTTAATACTATCTATATAGTGACGATGACTGCAAGATTGACTAAGAATTGTTATCAAAGTTGACGTCACATTACTTAATATTAAGTAATTATTTTTTAACTTAACATTTAATTGAAATATTATAAATGTAACATTTATTAGTATAAATATCAAATTTCTTTTATGAGTATCTAGTTACTCATAAAAAAAAATTGATATATCTAGATATATAGTTTAGTTTTGAATACACATTTATGTTATGATACTTTTAAAACAACTATACCTTTTATGATACTTTTTTGTGGCAATCAAGCAAAACGGTTTTTCTGATGCTAAAAAACCGTAACCTATGAATTAATTTATAACCATAGGTATCTAATAAAATTTATGACATTAATTTAATTTTGTTTATATTTATTTATACAGAACAAAAACTTTTATATTACACGAGTACACTGTGCTTGGTCAGTTCATTCTGAATAATAAAATTAGTTTATAAAGTAAATAACAGTGTTGATATAATAATTATAATAAATGTATATTTTGTTACAGTGGGATGAATATGAACATCAATAACAACAACAACAACAGCATAAATAACAATAACAACAATGAAGTGAAGGCCGATTTGCCGGACCCTGATTATATTAAGGTGAGTGTTGTGTAGTGAATACATAATACATACATATATTCATAATAAATAATTGCCTACTATAATCGTAGAATAACTAAAGGAAATATATCAAGTGTTTTATTAATTTGTTATACGCATAATTGTATCAATCTTCATTTACCAAAAAAACCCTGTTTTATACAGTTATTTATTCATTTATTAGATCTTCTACTTATATCAATTACTTGTTTTTATACTATGTAGGTGGCAATCGGGCATACGACCCATCTGATGGTAAACGGTTACCCTAACCTATGGACGCCTGAAACACCTGGGGTGTCACGTGCGCGTTGCCGACCCTTAATGAACATGAATATACCTTTCTTGAAAACCCACATTCTGTATACTCTCGAAAAAAACTCGACAGGTATTTCATTCCACAATCTAAGTGTACGGATCGGATGTATCTAAGAGGAAGCTCCACTGAAATCACACTGTCTGAGACTATTTAGGTTTAAGCATGTGGAGATTAATTCTCTGTTGATGGTGATCGGTGCGATAGTAAAAAGACGTAGCTGTGGGCGTATAATATTATGTTACACTTATATAAATCATGTTATAAGTATATTATGTTATACATCTTTGTATATTTTAATAGTACCTATCTTAAACTTGCTTTTGTTTTCGTGAATTTCAAGAATTAACCGTAATAGTTTCCAAATGGTACCATATTGAGATTAGTAATCATACTAAAATAGTCGTTACTGATTCAATATTAGGGTTTTATTTAAAATGCCTTGTCTGCTGTTCATCTATAATGATATTTAATATTGATTTTATTATTAATAGATTGATTTATTGAGCTAGACGAAATTGCACTTATTTGACAGTTTAATAACCCCATAAAGTATGTCTAAAGCGAATTATGTTAAGTTTCATTATCCAATCGATCGAAATACTACTTTAATATAGTAATGTTTGATATTGGCTAAATAGGGTGTGTTTGTACGCACAGATAGAAAGATGTGTATGTACATACCTTCCTAAATAAACAGAGGGATGACCTCTATTGACATATGCAGAGCGTTTGATAAGCAATCGGTTACGGGAATTTCATATAAATACAATAAATAAATAACTACCATTGCATTGACTCTGATCAACAGTGTGATGACCTTTATATATTTGCCTCTAAATCATTGCACAATTGCAGTTGACAACCGGTTTGTTCAATAAATATATTTCAACTCTACTTTTTAAATAAATAACAGCTTACTTACTTACTATTCTGATACCAGTACAAACTCGTACAATAATTATAACAATAAATATCAATAACTGTATGAGTTCTAACTACGTCTCCTACACCTGACTAAAGCTCGTATTATTGAGTATTACCTTAACCTTACCTTACATCACATAAAAAGAATAAAAAAAGTAATTTAATAATAATAATAATTTTATACAAACTCGTACAATAATTATAACAATAAATATCAATAACTGTATGAGTTCTAACTACGTCTCCTACACCTGACTAAAGCTCGTATTATTGAGTATTACCTTTTATTTTAAAAAGACTATAAAAAACTAATTTAATAATAAAAAATATACAAACTCCTATGTAATTAAACAATAAATATCAATAACTGTATGAGTTCTAACTACGTCTCCGACACTTGACTAAAGCTCGTATTATTGAGTATTACCTTAACCTTACCTTACATCACATAAGAAGAATAAAAAAAGTAATTTAATAATAATAATAATTTTATTTCATCCAATTTTACATTGTTCCCAGGTATCTAAACTAAGTAGAAAATTGTATTTTAAAACTATAATCTTAGATATAAAATTCTCGTGTCACAGTTTTCGTTCCCATACTCCTCAGAAACGGCTTGACCGATTCAAAAAAAAATGATATTGAGTAGGTCTGAGAATCGGCCAACATTTATTTTCATCCCCATAAATGTTAGGGATAGTCCCCTAATTTTTTTTTTTAAATTTAAGGCAAAACAACGTTTGCCGGGACAACTAGTCTCTTTATAATTATTCTAGGTACCAATATATAAATCAATAAATGTAATTATTCTGCAAGTAATTTCTTTGCTTAAGTCAAGAGATGGGCTATAGTTAAACTTCTTTTCATTTATTTAAATAAATACATTCCAAAGTATATTAAGATTTTTAAGGAGTAAGTGAATTCTCTCTTGTGTTTTAGACGCGTTTAGGCAGGAATATAAAGTAACTATTTGACGGTAAAATATATAAAATTAAAAATGGATATATTAAGGAATCTTAAGGGTCGTGTGCGCGCATTAACACCCCTGGTTTTACATGCGTCCATAGGCTACGGTAATGGTTTACCATCAGATATAGACCATCAAATTAGTGCGCTTGTTTGTTGCCATCGTTTTATAAGAAAAAACATATAAATTTTTTTTAAGAAATAGCTATGGAGTTAGTTGTAATCACAGCTATTTAATGTTACTGCTACTTAACTATATTCACATACATCACTGACAAACTCAATTATTTTTTAATGGTCTTATACTAATGAGAAGATTAATTTAATTTAAAACCAAAACAAACAGATATACATATAAATTGTATTGTATTGTATAGGGATGAAACCGAAGCCATTCAAAACTGTAGCAGTAAGATAAAATATAAGTTACATTATTCTGTAATAATTCTTTATATACATATATGTATGTTGAATTTCCATCAGCAGTTTTATTTATGCATTCGAGAATACATCCAACCATAACTCCGATCGTTTGAAATGACGCAAAATTGTGCACAGCACAGTAGTGAATCGGATACTAGGTCGCATCTAGTGGGATGCTGTTATCGTCAGATCTCTCATGCATCCAGAATCACAGTCATCTCACGCCAACGGCGAAACGTTACCATTGTGAAATGTCGCGTCAGCCAAATCCCTGTACAGATAATTTTCATAAAATTTATTTATAACTTTAACTAAAATTGGTACAAAAAGTTAACTTAATGCTATAGCATTCTCTCCCAGTCTACCTTTGGGATGTGCAGAGATACTTGAATGCGGCTAATAGAATTATAATAAAAAAAATACACATAAATACGTACATACATTAATAGAGTTGACCCTACTTCTTAATACAGTAAATACAATAGGATTTATAACCATATATAATGGGATAATGCCATTATAATATATGGTTATAACCGTATAGGTATTATTAAATCTTTATAATTATTATTTTAGTATTATAATTTGTGTAATGATATAAACCATAAAACACAAAAACTCAAAATCCACGTCACTAGGTAAATTTGACCAACATATATTTTTTTGTTTCTTTATTCCTAGATTTAAGGATGTTATAACATATAATTTTTTAATTCCTTTTGCATATGATTTAGTATGTAATATATATATATAATAAAACAATATATAATAGATATAAAGCAAAGACACAGAAACCACGATAGTAGATGTATTTAAGACACAGATAATTTTTACGGTTATTATTTCTTAAGTTGAAGGATATTAGATCATATCAAGGCGTACTCTGTACAAAGACTCCGTGGGTAGCTCTGTCTGACCTGTTTCAACCGCCAAGTAGTTTCCAAAGTGTTATTCCCGGTTTAAAGGCTGAGATATGTCAGTGAAATTACTAGGCAAAAGCATTACACTTTAGTTCTTCTATTCAAAATGCATGAGTACTACGGGCGTCATATCCGTGTTAATATTTATGTATTTTGACGACTCATGCCACTTTCTATTAGGTAGACCGTCATTTTTCCTATCTAGTTACAAAAAAGATAAGTTTTTGAAGGTTCCTTTAACCAATGTTAAAAATTAATAAATTGCAGATGTTCGTCGGTCAAGTACCTAGAAGTATGGACGAAACCGATCTTCGACAAATGTTTGAAGAGTTCGGCAGAGTACACCAGATCAACGTGCTAAGGGACAAGATCACGGGGGCCAGCAAAGGTTTGTAATGCTGTCATTCATGTTTCCATTCTGTAATATATAATATATTGCAACTTAGTATAAATCATATTTAATCGTATTTAAATAGTTAACAAGATTCCAATTCGATTACGTCATGAAGATGAGGTATTAGGTAGGATCCAGAATAGAAATAATAGGAACACTTGTTTACCCTCACTATAATAACTGATTAATGTTAAGTAAAAATGAGTATTAGAGTTATCAATAATGTGAATAAAATAGAGTATCAAAGTATACACGTAAATTACGGTAGTCGCATCCAGCAACCATAAAAAACCAAATATCTAACTTAAATTTAATTAAGAAATTAAATTTAAGTTATTACATAATAATGTATTACAATTACAATACTACTTAAAAGTAAAACTATAACTAAAATAATCTAATGGTCTTATAACGCAAACTATATTTGCCACAAGAACGTAACCAACGTTTTACAGACTTAGTTTAAAATTCCAATTAATATATCAAACGACTATATTGAAATTGGGACACTGCGGCCTCGTTTGTTCTTCGGCTCGTTCATATTACGCCCTTCAGCACTTTTTAGCATTTTTCAATAAGGATTCCTTTCAATTTTACTTAACGTCCAATATATTATTTTACCATGTCCATAAACATTATTTTAGAACTTAAACTTTTTAAATATGCATATATCTTTAAGACGAGTATGTTAAATATTATACAACATTTTATATAATAACTTACATAAAATATCCAATCAATCAATCAATATTATATCTATTTTATTTATAGAAGATTTTTGTACAATTTAGATGCACCTAAAATGTTGCAGCCATCTGAAAGATTGTTGTAAGGAATCAATAGACACAGATTATTCTTTAACTGTTAGCTAAAATAATAGTAATAAGTAACATACTGTTTTTTTTCATTTGACGAAAATAGTGTACTTAATGTACCCAAAACAATATTTAATTATAACATTCGAGGGGAAAAAAGTAGTCAATTATTCCGTTTCATTTAAAAATTTGTATAGTTATGTGACACAGACTGAATGACCAGATATTACTTTGTATAGATAGAACCTTTTCTAGCATTGGAATCCTTACTATAATATATAGAACTCTAATATGAATGATATATAGTGAGATAACTTCGTAATATATATATATATATATATATATATATAACTAATAAAATTTTCTTTCGTTTAATAATATTTTTCACTTCGGTATATTTGGAAGAAAAATATATACAAAGACATATTGTTATGGGACGCTTTATTATTGTTCCCTCCTTAAGGAATCATAACAATAAAGCTTTCAACGTCTTCAACCAATAGCAGAGAAAGTTTCCTGGAGCGATTGGCTCGTGTAATTTTATGTATAAAGTACGGCCAACTTGTGCAAGTATACATCCAAGTTGTATGCTTTATAACTGCCGGTGTAGAACATCAGAATACTTAAATATCACATGGAAAGTTGTATTATTAAGTAATGAAAACTGTATTATAACATCATCATCATTATCTTCTACTTCTTCATCATCCCATTTATTTGAGGCCGGCGTAAAATGTTTTTAAAACTATATTACGACACATAATATTAAATACTAAAACTCACTGGTAATTTGGTAATTGTTATATTACACTATATCAAGCATTAGCCGTGTCTTCGTTTACAGATTTCATCCCCTATTTCACCCCCTTCCAGATACCTTTGTTATAAATATAGACTATTTCTATCCTCGCGATATATACCTAATTTTAAGAAGATATGATTTAGCCATTTACACAGAAAAGGCGAAAAGATATAGAGAGGCAGATGAAAAGACGAGACATAATTTAAAAGTTAATAGTAATTAGTGTTTTATATTTTATACACTAAGATTTTAAATGTCATTAAGATCTGATTGGAGGTCTAGTTGTGAGAGATTAGCAAACAGACAAACTTTCACATTCATATAATATAGTTAATTAGTATGTTCATAATCTATTGTTTATTTCACAACTCTCTAAGTTTCATAAACTTTTAAAATGTGCAAATTAAAAGAATTTTAATCAAGCGTAATTGTTTGGAAACGTCGTATTATATAGCTAATTTATGTTCTTACAAAAATTCCTTTTAGTAAAATTAATAACTGTTTTACACAAGAAACGCTCCCAAAGTAGCCGTTTATCAATATTGATGAAGTTGTTCTATAAAAGCGACTCGCGACACTTGGAAAATTAATTTACGTTTTAATATTTCAACAAATTTTCATTTCCAAAGTTCCTGTCGATACAAAGTCGATTATATTATCATAAATTATAATTGTAAGGATAAATCACTTGAAAACTTTCGAAGAAAGGTGAAATTGCGTTGATTTTTTTTTAATCTGTATTGTAATGCTTTAACTTTATAGAAATGTAAAACATTCTAATATGTATATAAATAAGATAAATAAATATTATCCTGAACATATTACACGAAACTTAGAAATACATACACTTGCTTAATTTTACATACAAACAACACTCAAAAGGACAAAACGTTGCTATACCCAACAATGTGCATATTATGTGTGTAAATTGTATGTATGTTTCTTATATCGAATTATAGATATTATAAAGTGCCCTTTACTTTCGTCAAAATTAATCGTCTTGATACTCGACTATTATTAATAATAATAAGTATACTTTAAATAGACATGTAGAAACATTATCGGCAGTTTTATATATATTCAGAAAGAAGATTAAGTAGACATAAGATAATAATGGACAATTCACACAGCGCCATCTAGTCCCAAACTAAGCAGAGCTCGAGTTACGGGTACTAAACACCAGATATACATAGTTAAATACTTTTTTTGTGAACACATTGTATGTAATTGAACACATCGTAGTATTAACTACATATGTTCCAATGTAGCTGCGTACGTGTACGTGTACGTGTGCATTGCACATATTTAATACACTCGCCGCACGAAAGGTAAAATAAAATAAAAATTTAATAAAATAAAAATAAAAAACATTCATAATAACCCTATTATTGTTTCGGCTCGCAACAGACGGGCTGTGTTTCGTGTTGACATTTTTGTTTGTTTCGCTAAATGTCTTTTGTGTGAAAGAGTTCCTTTTGTTTCAAGAATAAACCCTTTTGTTAATGTTGGACGCAATGTGCATACCCACGCAGGACCCGTGGACGTTTTGTATGTCTGTTACGTGTTTACAAATGTTGTTAATAATATGTTAAAACTCATATACGTTGTTCTACAATGTGGACCTACGAAAAATAATGCTTTTCAAATATACGTTATCTAAATTTCTTAGAGTAAAAAATACAGCATTGTGGTTTTTTAACTTTTCTAGTTTTAGTAATATGGGACACCATCACCATCATAATATACATATAGTATACTAGATACATCAAAATAATAATTGCATTTAATAATGTCTAGTAAGACAAATTCAATATTGTTTATAAGCACTGCTGTGTCTAAACTGTGCCACCCCACCTTACATTTTCCTATTGTTATTTAGTATATAAGATCATATTTCTATGTAGATATTGTCAGTTTATTACCATCTGTAATATACATCGTCTCGACCAACAACATATGACTGGTTTATCTAGATACAATCTGAAAAAATATATTGATTCAAAATCCATAACATATTTATTCATGTAGGTCTATGACAGACTCTTATGATATGTCAAATCTACCGTCAATTCGGAATGATTTCCAGAACAAGAAACTCAGCTCGTATTCTATATATATATTAATATGAATACTGTAATTAAAATATGAATTTTATTTACCTACTGTAGATGATGTGTATTCTATATCTATTATAAAAATATCACGTAATTTACTTTTTTTCCTGATAAAACAGTATACTGATAACTATAATACTAATTCAATATAGATGTATCAAAAATGATGTTATAAAAATATTTAAAAATAAAATACTATTAATAATATCAAATAGTTTGTAATTTTATATAATTTTACTCATTGTTAGAAACATGCATGCTTCAATAACTAATTAAAAAGCATATTTTTTGGGAGCATTCGAACAATATAGAAATTAACATGAATCATACTAAATAATAATTATTTATATTAGAATACAAAATTAGGCGAGAAGTATCTAAAGATAAGAATTAAGCAGAACTGGCATAAGTTGATTCCATTTAAGTTGTTGTATTTGTATAATCATAAGACCTAGATATAGTAATGTCGAGTTTGATAGCGCATTTCCTACAGAGTATATTACATATATTTAGATTATCGTTTATCTAATATACCCATAAATCTAAAGTAAAAATTGATAGTGATATTAGTATGCACTATGCAGTGTTTTCACACAAACTCTTAAAAATGTAATGAAGAACATTTATTTAAAAGAGAAAAACGCAAGTTTCATGCTGATTCTTTTTTGATGAGTCTGCGTTACGAATTAGTTGGTAAAATTCTTGCAAAAAATAAAGATTGTCTATTTATATGGACATTGGAATGAAATACATAAGGACATACTGCGCCGACCCCAAATAATGGGGTAAAGGCATGGCAATGATGATATAGATTACTTAGTTACTGCTCGCGACTACTTCTGCGTGCCCATAATTGATCAAAGTTACTTAAACATCTTAAATACTACAAATATATCAAATGTCATTGTGATTACGAATAAAATAATCTTTGCACTTATAATTTAGGTAGATCGTATAGTGTCAATATTTGAAAAAAAAAATCAAAATGCAGTATTATTTAAGTAACTGAACTTTTACTAAATTCTATTATATTATATATAGTTGTTGAAGCCTTCTTTTAAGAATAAAAATGCCTGTTCCATAAATAGATTATTTAATCTACACATGATGGTAATATTGCCTTTATATGTTATGATAGTGTAATATACCCCTAAGTCCTGCCGTGTCCTCGTGAATGTCATGTTTTGTATAGTGTGCGCTTCTGTTACAGGGTGCTGTTTTGTGACGTTTTTCACGCGCAAAGCAGCGTTGAAAGCGCAAGACGCTTTGCACAATATCAAAACATTGAGCGGGGTAAGTGCGTTTATATGTTAACTACGTTTTATACTCCACCTGTTAATGAAATTAAATGCCGTAGAAAACATTTATTAATTTGATTGCAGATTGATTGAATACCCAATCAATGTCGAAATTGGCTTTCAATTACGTTCGATATATGTATATAAATAAATATCGAACGTTTGAAAGGTAGACTTTGAAGATTTACTATTAAAGTGGTCTTCGCAAAATTTTTTTTTAGTTAATATAAAATATGAATGTCTTACTATATGTGTAAATTCAATAATGCAGTGCTAAATAATAGATTTCATTATTCCATTAACAGGTGGAAAGTAAATGTTTGTATTTCAATTTTTATACATATTATCCATACCTCGTCATATAATGTATGTCATGCTCGTATAATTAAGATTTGTATTGACTAACAAATAATTTATTAATGACCGATTTTTTGCCGATCTTATATCGAGTATCATAAGAAAGTATTTAAAATATGGTAAATAGATCCCAATGACTTCGATAGTCTTTAATAATAATAAATAAATAAATAACTCCTGGACAATTAACACAGCGCCATCTAGGCTCACAGTAAGCAGATCTCGTCTAATGGGTATTAAACCCTATATATAATATACATACAAAACACCCATTCCGATAAAAACAATCATACTCATGAATACAAATGTTAGCACCGTGCGAGGAATCGAACCCGCGACCATCGCGGAAGTGAAGTGGTGTGCTAAACCGCCAGACCACGGAGGTCGTCAATATTATATTACTAGAGGTTGTGTATGCATCGAGATGCCAGCGAATCGTCGTCGCTGATTGGTTTTTTTATATTGAATGTTTTATTTTCGAATACTAAATTATAGTTGATTGTTTATAATGGAATTATTTTATTTGTGTCCAGTTTAAGTAAATAGAAAACATTAAGATGTTGAGAAGCGTAGAACCTGTTGCGTGCTGAATCGAGATCTATAACAATTTTCGTTATTGCATTACCGGAATGGGCAAGAATGAAGGAGAGCGGGGAGGAACAAACATCCCATTCGATACCGCATCTCGATTGTTACCGAAATCGAATTACTGACTCTTTCCATCGAGTCGCTCGCCTTTCTTTCCCTCGCTTCGTCTTCATCTCAGTGATAATTCAATTCTATTATATTATCAGGGGCTTTTTTCTACCGATTGATTCTGAACGCTCTTCTTGATGGAAGTGGCAGGTGGGGGGTTGTGGGGTTGTTTCGCCGAAATTGGGGGAAATATTGGTTGATTGGACGCATTGTGCGGTATCTCGTTATTTTTACGTTTCAAGATAGGTGCTCCCGTAGATTGGACTGTGTTACGAAATATTATTTTTCGCTTACATAAGGTAATGAGTAGTTTTATTCTCGTTCACTGTGATTGATCACAGCATTTTATTTTTATGGTTAAGTAGAATAAAAAGTTCAAAACATTGTGCATGGACATAACATCTAATCCTAAACTAAGAAAAGACAGTGTACGTGAACTTTATATTTTTTATTCGACTGTGCATATAAAATTACTTCATGTATGAAGTGGCATAAATTGTCCAGTATTAATTAATTAATTTACTTTGATACTTAGTAAACTTAAAATTCCAATTTCATACAAGCAAGATTAGTAAAGGTTAATCAGTTAATAATTTTAATACAATGAATTATATCATTATATTACACGTACGGAGGCATTATAAATCTTTTTTGTTGGATTGTTCCATATAACACGTATGTATTATACTTACGGACGTACATGTAAACCTTCCTCTTGAATTACTCTATCTATTACTGAAAACTGCATTAAGATTTGTTGCGCAATTTAAAAGCGAAAAGCAGCGGTGACTTTGTTTTATGCTATAACCCAGATAAGCTATAATAAGTATAATTAGTAAAAATCACGGGATCTTACCACGTTTTATATTTATTGAGTTTCCGATATTTCAGCATAATCACGGGTAGACCCTACATGGTTGAAACACTGCTGAAAAATCGGGAACTCAAGATCCCGTGATTTTTACTAATTATACGTATAAATAATGACCGCGTTAATTTTAAAACAGTATATTAATTATAATAAGGTAATTTCTATGTATTATGTAGAAATTTCAGTCAGCGTGTCAAGGTCTTTAATGTCCAGCGCCTTACTATATTTCCGTATCTTATTTATCCGTAATAAACTAGCGGAATCGTACTTAAGCATAAGGTAGGCATACTATTCCCCCAGGAGACTTAAGTTTTGTGAAACCACAATTTACCTGTAGTTCGAATTTAAATGAATAATAGAATAGGAACCGGCTTACAGTATTGAATTATTAATAGTTCTATCCTATAAGAAGCCATTAATGGACTACAAAATACACGCTCATTTTATAACAACTATAATGTTTTTATAATTTCTGGTGATATTATGGATAAATCCACAAGATGTAGCTTAAGATTTATATAAAGTATATGGAACATTACTCGTATTGTATTGTTAGTAAAGGAGAGTAGGACCCCATTTAGATTCGTATTCATTAAACGATACTAACACATTTTTACAATTTTTAGTAATTGCGTAGAAGGACACTCATATGAGGTAATATAAACAACAAGATACAAAATAAATACACACAACTACATTAGGCAATTAACAACATATAATATAGGTACAAGCAACGTAGGTGTAACGTAGGTTATATGCATCGCCCGTATGCAAAAAAAAAAACAATATCGCAGTGTATTGTTCGCTCATACAGCAAACCACTAATTTTCAGCTATTATCCAGGGACATACGCGAGGATACAAACAAGAAGTCCGATGTGTTTAATCAGCTCTACTACTCCGTTACTAATTGCAATAAAAAATGAATAAACAGTGACAAGTTAAAAAAAACAAAACGGTATGGATAGTATATAACATAAATGAAAAATTATGAAAAATTATTGAATCTCAATATAAAGTAAACAAAAAATATAAACTAATATCAAATTCATTGTAACGAAATATAATCACAAGGTACTGTAATCTATCTAAATATACATAACTTAAAAGTGACTGACATAGACATCTATCAACGCACAGCCTAAACCACTGGACGGATCGGGCTGAAATTTGGTATGCAGGTAGATGTTATGACGTAGGCATCCGCTAAGAAAAGATTTTGATTAATTCTACCCCTAAGGGGATAAAATATGGGATGAAAGTTCGTATGAAACTTTGTCAATTTTAAACTGATCGGGCTGAGACTTTGCATGCATAAAGCTACTATGACGTAAGCATCCCCTAAGAAAGGATTTTGATAAATTCCACCCCTAAGGGGATAAATTAACGCGAGCGAAGCCGCGGGTAAAATCTAGAATTTACATAATACAAGAAAGCTAATATACTTTAGTAACTACTATAATATACATATTACTATAATCCAAAACTTTTTCTTTGTAGGTACATATATGCCGTTTTTCACTGATGTAGGTCATTTATGATTATGCCATTGATGAAACTACCTAGAATCAGCCTTTCGTAGAATCCATTTACCAAACCAGTCCCAATAAAACGAGACCGTAATAAATAGGACCGAAATGGAAATAAAGACCAGCGTCCAGGACTAGCAAAGCAATAATATTCAGGGATTTTACGGACTAGTTTTAGAGGGCGAGCAGTAAAAGAAAATGACAATATACATTTTTGGTACACAGTATTACGCCTAAAAGGAGCAGAGAATAAATAAATATTTTAAAGATTTAACTGAATGTAATGTTGAATTTACCTTCCAATCAACATCATCATCAACTATCGCAACCTGTCTATAATTTTATTCTGTATGTAGGTCTAATTAACACGTTGCAACACAACTTCTCAACCAAAGTAATTAGTTCATCGAATTCTTTTAAAATAACCTGATAACATTTTTCAGATATCTTCAGATATTTAAATTTACATGGGTTTTGACCATTATTTGTTTAATAGATAAAAATTCCTGTAATGATTTCATCCGGAATGTATTAGATTTATTTTGTACTTCAATATTATTGTATAATTCAATAATACTTTACGGTTAAAACAATCAGCATAGCCTCAAAAAAAACCATTCTCTATGATTATTTGACTATACCTAGACAACGCACACAACACGATCTTATCCCATTCTAAGCAGACCTTGCACTCCATAATGTGTCTTTGTATTGGCCATATACTAGTACAACTTTTTTATATATATATATATACGTAAAATAATAAAAAGAAATACAAATAAACATACTCTGATTGGATAAACATTCTCATACGAGAATTGAAAAATCCTACACCATCTGAACCAAGATGCCAAAGAAAGGCCTGTAGGCGTAACTCTGTAACTATACGGTTTGAACTAAACGCTCCATTAGAAAGTTTAATGAAACGTGCGCCAAGAAATCATCCAAGTTCAAACTATTCCGTGTCCGGTATTAATTTATGCGAGGGCCAGCGTCACGGGTTTTGCAAATAGTTTTGAAATTCTGCAAGTTTCTGTTTGGTCAATATCAGGAGTTGGCGTATCTGTTCATGCGGAAAAATCTTGATCACAACATTCAGTAGGTGTATAATTTATTTAGAAGCATTTAGAATGGATTATATTTTGTATTACATTTATTTAATAATACAATACATTTAATTGTACAAAGCCATACAATTAAACACATCTTCAAAATATTTTTATTTTGAAATATAACTAAATAATTCCGGATTTGATTCTCAAATGGCAGGATATTACTCAATTTATAAGTGAACTAATTTTTTTTTCGAACTGTTATCATTTAGTTCAAAAATAATTTATCCTTTTATAAAATAATCTACTTATAATATTATTACGACACCATTCTGAAACTTATCCTATCAAATAAAAAGTAATTCCTGAGTACACGTCGAATTTACTACTTTTTCATTTATTTTTATTCTGTTAAAATGGAAATAAATATTTCTTTACTGGCGTATAAACCTCAAAGATAATAAAACCCAAATGTATTCGACATTTTAAAA